GTTGATTGTGACTTTAATTTAACACAAAACGTAAAATGTTTGATGTAAAATCCAATCATTCTGTTATTTTGTCAAATCATATTGCAAATTATCCTGCTGATATATTTATTTTATTTAATATTTCGTTAACTATTAACTTTATGAAAGGCATTTTATACCAAATTCAGAAGTGTTGGTGTTTTTGTCTAATTTTCTTTCGTTGCCTGGAGTAATTGCGTTAAATCTGAAACTTGTAGTTGATTTGTAAAGTGCGATTATCTCGAAAACTGTTGAGTTTTGAAGTTATTAAGAGGTAACTTTTTTTTTTGTTAAAATAATGTGTCTAATATTTTTTATCACAAACACCGGTAACTTAAAGAGCAAAAAAGTTAACTGCAAATGTATGCCACATATGTGGCGCCCTCTATCAGCTACATTAAACTATGCATCAAATTATAATTCCTGATGCTTAAAAGTACCTAGTTATGAATTTTGATACATAAATATTTACAAACATGAAAGTTATAAAGAAAATTAAAATTTCAAATTTCCACTTTAACACCCTGTATCTTTCTTAATATCAACATTTTATTAAAGCAATTTGGCTTAAATCGTAATATTTTTAAGTGTAGAATCTACGGTTTCTTTTTGTACAATTACTTAAGGACTACCCTGTATATATTTTTTAATTTAAATGAACTGCTTATTTGAATTATCCATAGAATTACCACTAATTTTAAAAATACTATTGCAAATTAAAAAATACAGAAACAGTATAAAGGTTCGTGCTTGTCTACAGTACAGCCTTGAATATTATACGCCATTTTTTTCTTGTACTTATTCCTGCTCTTCTTGAAAATTGCGTCTAAATATTTGTAACTTTCTCTAAAACCCTGATATAATATTTTCTCTTATGTCACTATGTCGTTGACTATAATTAGATATATGTGCATTTTTTAGTCCCGAGTCTTCATACCCCTCTTAAAATATTCTTATAATATAGCAAAAATCTTCATCTTTCTCGATCACTATTTGTCACCAGAGGAGAATGTGTTTTTAAGAAATAATACCAAGCTAAAAATATTGAATTATTTTATTAATTTAATTGGTTGTCTCTTCTTGTTTCTGTCTTCTTCTAGTTAATAGCCGAGCCCGGATCTGCTTGGGATTGATTGTAAAAAGATCACATAATATTTTTGCAGAAGATTTTGTATAACTAAAATTTACATATATATGCTCCAGATTAAAAAGTTTTAAATCATTCAGAAAAAAAATTTAAAACGGAAATCGATATCATCAAACCCCTATTTTTCAAACTTTAATCCTTTAAAACTTTATCATAAATGTGTGTTACAAAAATGTACACGAGTAAAATTATTCATAATTAAATTTCCCACCAAATCTCGATTGTGCAACTAGAAAAAAAAATTCAGAGCTTAGAATTGAAAATTCGTGTAAAATTTATAAATGATTTAAAAATTTGCTTATCGGAAATCGGCAAAATCTTCTGAAAAAAAATTTCTGAACGTTGAAAATTTTGAACAATTAAAATAGTTTAATTCGGTGAATCTGGGGATTCTTAAATAAGCTATTGGCGATGTCAAACGAAAGAGGCGGCACGGTGTGGTAAAAATTTGAACTAGTGCACGTAGGATAACAAAACATTTTGTATTTAGTTATATAGTTATAAACATTTTAAATATTATTAAATAGAGCACAATAAGGTAACAAAGTGTTAAAAAGTAAATTTAAACAGTATTGTTCTGCACGGCAATGCAGTAATTATCGATCGGAAGGAATAACTATGCACTTTTTTCCTCGTACCAAAAATCTACAAGATCGTTGGGCACAGGAATTAAAAATTGGGAAATCCATATCAAGTGATATGATGGTGTGTTCCCAACATTTTTTATCAACAGCTTTTTTTTAAATAAATTTGCTGAACAGAATTGCAACATTTATTATATATAATGTGCCTACCTAACCTAATCAAATATATACAGTAACATAGATCTTAATTAAAATTTCTATTACAATTGCAGCAGGGAAAAAGAAACTTTCAAAGAAAGGTGTTATTCTCTCTCAATGCCTTCTTAAAGGAAATCACGAAAGAAAAATCAATGAGGAACTGGTGAATGCTAGACTAATGCGTAATAAAACACACGCACATTTCTCCCTGGCGGACTTTACAAGTGCATTTTACCACCCACTCGTCTCTTAATACATCCACAGTGATTTCATGTGGGGCACCATTTAAATTAGTCGTTTTAGACACAAACCGACTAATTTGTTATTATATTTGCCACACAACACAACGTGGACACTGGCCAGCCTTCAATAAGGCCTCGCCTTCTTTTAAAGGTCTTTTTGTGTCTCTTATATATTTCAAAATATGGAGCAGACTAACTTTAATCTCTGGATTTGCCATTGCGTTAACAAAAAAATAAATGGAAGATAATGAATACGGATAATTTTTAGACACAACAATCATTCACCTACAAAGATTATGGTAGCTCTGTTTTGTTTTCCTACGTGCGTGATCAGCTGATCATCTGTCAAAGCGCCCCCTGTAGGTTGTTGACATCGCCAATAAAGAACGTATATTTTATTTATTTAAATTTTCACGATCGAAATTGTTATCATTTAATATAATTTTATAAGTTATCAAGTGCAGATTTAAAAAAAAATATTTATTCGTACAAAATTATATTAAATTTAATATTTTGAGCGTAAAAATAAATTATTTTAATCAAATTCATCTTTTAATTTTAATTTTTTACGCTAACCCCAAAAGTTTCTGCTTTATGAAAATTATTAATTTTACTCTTAATCTCTAGTTATATATTGGGACAAAGATATAATAGATGCTTTTTGTTACACTTTTGAACAGAAAACGTGATGTGGCACTCTAAGAGTGACCGAGGAGAGGAATCGTAGCTTTCTTATAGTCTAAACAAGGAGCAATGGTTTTAATTTACTTTAATTTATCTTATTCTATTATATTTATTTATGTTTTCGATAATCGATTCGATTAAAATAATATTTGATTCGATTAGATTTTATAATCACTTCGGTTCGATCTGATTTGATAACCGATTAGATTCGATAATCGATTTAATTCGATTCAATAATTCATTCGATTCGATTCAATAATCCATTCGATTCGATTCAATATTCCATTCGATTCGATTTAATAATCCATTCGATTCGATAATGGATTCGATACGATAATCGATTAAAATAGTAAATTTTATTTTATATTACTTTATTTATTCTATTAATAAACTCGCATGGCACTGCCTTTATTACTTCATGTAGTGTGTGGTCGTACGATGTGTCGTTTCAGTCGTTATTTTTATTTGTTTCACACTTCAGTGTAATCGACCGTCCGTAGCCTGCGATAAAAAAGCCCTGCTTCCAAAACAACTAAGTTCACGGTTAGTATTCAATATGACCATTATGATCTTGAATAATTCTGCTTGCATTGATAACTCATAGAAAACGTGGATTTCTATTTAAATACTATGTAAAAGTGTTACTAGTGTATTTACCAGTATTAGACCGGGTCTCCTATGTGCCACAAGTTGGTTAATGAGCACAATACAGTCCCAATATAACTTGTAGTCATTCTCAAGCACACTAATAAGGAAGATGGCTGGTTTGGAGAAGTTCCAGTTTTTGAACTACCACTTGATGGAGTGACTTTCCTACTGAGTATGCAGTTCCTTATACTAAGTTACAGCAAATGCCTAACTCCGTTAAGATGTTTGATGGCTTCTTGACCTTGACATCCATATCGGCATTTGTCGTTTAACACATGAAAATCATTGACAATATATTTCATGTAATTGTAGTTGGAAACCTTTGTCCTGAATGGCGACTAGGAAATGCCTTGTTTCGGTAAACATATTTCCTGATACCAATCACTAGCCTGACGCTGTATTGTCGACATAGTCTTGGCTGGCTTGAGCAGATGCTCATTTTTTCTTTATCTAAAAGATGGCTTACGCTCATTTCTTGTTCTGTCAGTTTAAGCCTATTTGTGTCAACTACTGTGCAAATTGGATGATGTTTCAGGTGACTGAAAATAAGTTCTTAAATTAGCAATTGTTTTTTTAATTGCTCACCTAGATATCCTCTTCCTCCTAGATACCGGGGTAACGTTGTTCTTTCTGCGGCACTGCGATGATATTGTTTTTGTGCGATTGTCGAAGTGTTTTTGTTTTTTTGCTGAAGATTTTCTTTGTCCGTTTTAATCCACTGAACTAGCTCTACTTTTGTATTTGTAATTAACGTTTGTGTTAGAATATATTATTTTTAATTTTACTTTTAGTAATAATCTGATTTTAGTCAGTACCTTCGAAGCAAGCTATTCATGTCAAGAATTTGAAGAGTTGCAAATTGTTGACCACAAGTGAAGATCGAAAAGACGAAAAACTAACAATGAATAGAAGAATTGAATGAGTCAACAACCAGAAAGAGAAAGCGATAAGTATATTATTGTACCTTTGGGACTTGGACGCAACTGTATTTTTTTAATAATACAATACGCGCGTTATTTGTTTAAAAATGGTCACTCAAAGTGCCTACGTAAAATTATGGTGAGATGTATACCTGCTGTTCCGTCTTATAACTGCACTTTGTTGTAACACTGCACATCTTTTTTTTAGGTTTATTCATAAAAGACTTTTTTTAAATACATTACAGTTACGTCCTAATCTTAGTGGGACAATGATATTTAAATGTAAAAAAAATTGTGTTCTCTGTAGTTAGTATTCATGGTATAATCATTTGCACGTACCTTAATAAATTAATGTATTATTTGCCTAAAGATTTTTAAATTATTACCAAATAAGTGAACTTGGGAAAAGTAAAAATTTATTTATAGAACATTTTACTTAAACGGTAACATAAAAAGTAGTATTACAAAACGTTATCAACGGCATAAATCATTTTCATTGTTTAAAATGCAATATTTCCATTATAATTTTATTTTATAGACGTAGTTTTATAGTATTTTTATAGTTACTTAATAACCGCAACTTATTTGATTAATTGTAACAATGTGACACACGTGTTTAGATGTCATAGAAACATAAAGGCTTGTTTTATTTTAATACTAAAAAATGTTAACGTACTTATTAGAAACTTAATATATATAATATTTTTTAGGTATGGTGATGCCGTGGTTGGCCCAAGTGCGATGTGTGCACTTGGCAGTGTTTGCTGTAGCGATGATACCCATTTTTGCATGTCTATCGTATCTCAGTACGAATCAGCTACAACCAACGGCAGTGCCGCTACGTACCTATGAAGTAAAACTAGTCCAAAGTAATCAAAATGTGAGCCAATTAGAACCAGAAAGGCAGCTGTCATTGGTTATTCCATCGAATCCTGTCACAAATGCAACCAGTAATTCAAATCAAGGGCCAGATCTCACAAAGGGTGTAGCAGCTGAAAAAATTTACGAAGCTGGGCATATGCATCACGATTCTGAGATATGTCCAAATATGGGTGAAAATGTGAAGTTGCTGATAGCGATCACTTCAGCTCCTAGTCATGAAAGTGCCAGACTCGCTGTCCGGGAGACCTGGGGTCATTTTGCGATAAGAAAAGACATAGTTGTAGCTTTTATGTTAGGTGCCACTTCGAATCAAACTGTAAATACTCGAATAGAAGCTGAGCAAGAAATATATGGTGATATTATCAGAGGAAAATTTGTAGATACATATGACAATCTAACTCTTAAGACTATCTCAATGCTCGAATGGGTTGATAATTTTTGCTCCCGAGCTCAGTTTGTACTTAAGACAGATGATGATATGTTTATCAACGTTTCGAGACTTTTAGCGTTTATAGCAAGGCATAAGCCTGAAGAAAGGGTGATTTATGGTCGACTGGCCAGAAAGTGGAAGCCAATTAGGAGTAAAAAATCTAAATATTATATATCTCTTCAACAGTATAAACCTCCTGTTTTTCCTGATTTTACAACGGGACCAGCTTATCTGTTTCCAGCTCAAATAGCCAAGGAACTGTACGTAGCTTCTTTAAATTATACTTATTTTAAGCTTGAAGATGTTTTTGTCACAGGAATAGTGGCAAATGGACTGAAGATCAAACGTGTACACGTACCAGAATTCATAAACAAGCGCGTGAAATTTACATCGTGCAACGTGCAAAAAGAAATCAGTATACATATGGTAAAGGGTGTTGAACAATATGATTTATGGAAAAAATTACATGATGTGACACAGTGCAAGAAGTAAATGTGTGTGAACCAAGAACTATTGTGTAATTTTTAATGACACTGAACTAAAATTATTTTGTGTAAAACGTAATACTCGAATTGATAAGAACAAATGCATCACATCAAAAATTAAAATTTTATTATTTTGTACCCAGTTATAAAAGAGTGTATTATAATTGTTATGTATATACTAGTTCATTCAATGAAATTGATTATTTATAATTAAAAAAATGTATATTTGTACAATATACAGTCGTAAACAATTTATCCTATTCATTTATTTATCTATTAAACCTTATGTGTCTATATTTCTGTAGTTAGTTATTTAGACATCTAATGGAAGTTTAAAAGCACTAAATTTTATATATTTAATTCAAATATTGGGAAAAATCGACGAGGTCAAACTGTAGGCCCCTTATTGGACAACCTAACAATTGAGGATAGAGATTATATGAATTCTGCAAAGAAAGCGATATTATCATTACAAATACTTGGTATAAAGTACCCAAGTGACGACTATATACTTGGAAAGTCTCATTTGATGATGGCAGCAAAAGGTTTTTAAAAAAAACTTGTAGTGAGCGCTTCCGAAATGCCGCCAAAAAGTCACTACATTTACAGGAGCAGACGTTGGATCTTACCACCAATACCTTGGAGCAGATATTAAACTAAGGTTAAAACAAATCCATTGAAAAAATCCAAAACCTAACCTAATCAAAAACCAATGTACTTTACTTGGATAAAATGGATACATAACATAAAATGGATAACAATTAGAAGATATAGAGGAACAATGGAATGAATTTAAAAACCAAATTAATTAACAACTTATGCAGAAAGAATGTTATAGAAGTAAAAAATAAAACAGAATTGCACAAAAAGTAAATGAAATAAGCAGTATATTAAAAAAAAAAACGAATTTAAAAATAAGGAAAGCTTGTGATCCAGATGATACACCGACTGAGTTGAAACTAAGATTAATAGATGATGATAACATAAAAGTAGCAGTAAAACTTTATTTTGTCCCCAGCATAGCACGTGATAGAGCTATATGGCATAAAAATCAACGAGGAATTACTTAATTTATTTAGATATGCTAATTACTACTCACGTGTGGTTGCTAGATCCAAAATCCACGTCCAGGTGATACACCGACTGAGTTAAAACTAAGATTAATAGATGATGATCACATAAAAGTGCATTAAAACTTTATTTTATCCCCAGCATAGCTCGTGAGGGAGCTATGTGGCATAAAAATCAATGAGGAATTACTTAATGTAATTAGATATGCTAATTACTACTTATGTCTCTTTGCTAAATCCAAAGTCCGGTATCGGATAGGGGAATGCCTCCCAGATATATGCAAGCTAAATATACATCTGCTCATCGTACCCGAACCTAACAAAAATGAGACGAGGGGAAAAATGTAGCGGTGCTCATTAAAAATTGGGATGTTGGAGTGCAGAACATTGTCAGGGAAATCATTTACCCAGGTTGAGGGAGTTCTGCCTCCTGGCATGCTATGTATCCCCAAACATCCCTAAGATCAGATACGAAACAATCGTTAATGAAATAATGGGTGCCGCTATAAACAAAAAAAAAGTACTGATCGCCGGGAACATAAATGCGAAGTCCAGACAATGGGGTTCCCCCATAAACCTCAAAAAGGGGGAACTCTGGAATGAATTGATAGCCCAGACTGGCCTCCAAGTGCTAAACAACAATAAGCCAACTTTCGTACGGGAGGCCAGCCAATCACACATTGACATCACATTCGCAAGCGAAGGGCTCTCCAGGAAGGTGTACGGGTGGGATGTACTCGACGATCAGCTCTTGATCTACCACCGATATATACAATTTGAAGTAAAGGTTATACGGGGGATAAAGCGGTCGATAGGTACGACAAAATCATATTTTAACAAAAACAAGTACCTAACGGAGGTCAGAAAAATAAGTGAAGATGAGATTTCTGACCTCGGCCAACTTCGAACAGCTCTACAAAATGCGGCAAAATTGGCTACCGAGAAGAAAAATCCCCCTATCGGTGGACAGATGAGACAGAAGATCTATAAGCAGCTATGAGACATAAGCTTTTTCTTGTATCGTTCTTAGTATGAATATGTTATCTGTAGTGGCTCTATTTGGTCTGAATCCATTTTGATAATCACCAATTATATTTTCGGAGTATTCCAATAATCTATTGTAGATTATACCAGAAAAAATTTTGTATATTACATTTAGCAATGTAATTGGCCTATAATTCTGGCATTCCCTCTTATCTCCTTTTTTATATATTGGCTGTATGAATCCAACTGTCCATTCCTCTGGCATTTGCTCCTTCGTCCATATTAATGTTATTAGGTAATGGATTCTTTCCCAGAGTTCGGATCCTTCATGCTTTAATAATTCTGCCGAAATTCCGTCCGTTCCTGGTGCTTTATTGTTTTTTAGTTTATTTATTATCTGAACTACTTCTTCATAACTCGGATTTTCGATGTGCAGCTCCGCCGTATAATATATTGTCTCGTTCTGATTATTTTCGTTGTCTGCATTTAGATTTTCTTCGAAATATTGTTTCCATCTCATTATAATTTTTTGCTTCTCTGTTAGTAGTTCTCCGTCCCTGTCTTTGCATATCGTTAGTTTTAGTCTAAATGACTGTGTGCTTTCTTGTATGCATTTATAGAATTTTCTGCTTTCGCGTCTGTTGTTATGCTTTACGATTTCTTGTACTTGTTTTTTCATAGCCTCTCTTTTCTTTCTTCTGCATATTCTAGTCGCTCGTATTCTTTTTTCGTTATAAATCTCACTGCTATTTCTTGTGTTTCTTTGAAGTTGGTTACGCATAGCTTGCCTTTTTTCCTCTACTGCAGTTTTGCGTTCATCATCATACCATTCCGCATTTCTTTGCCTTTTGGCTTTTCCTCCTCTGCAGTATCTTCCTCTCTAGTTCGGTTGAGTTTTATTTGGAGAGCATTTCTGTAATCTTGTCTCTTTGTTGCGCTTTTGAATCCTTCGACATTACATTTTTTGATTTGAATATTTTTCCCTTTTGCTACTGTCGCTATTTTCTGCCGTAATTTTGCCCCTACAAGATAGTGATCTGAGTCAGAGTTCTCCCCGCGATACGTTCTGACATTAGTTATGTCTGTTGCCCATCTTTTTGAGATGAGTATATGGTTAATTTGATTGGCTTCGTTAGTTCCCGGTATTTTCCATGTTCCTTTATGGATATCTTTTCTCTGGAAGTTAGTACTGACAACTACGTAATTATTTGCTGCTGCGAACGGTGCCACCCTGAGTCCATTTTGACTGGTTTCAGTGTGCAAACTGTGTTTCCCAAATATATTTGCAAACATTCCTTCTTTCCCCAGTTTAGCATTAAAATCGCCTAACGTTATAACAGCATCGTGTCTTTGGATTTTATCACATACATCCTGTAGTTCTCCGTAGAATCTTTCAACTTCTTCTTCATCAGCCTCTTCCGTCGATGCATATACATTAACCATTGTCACGTTATGAAATTTACCTTTAAATCTTATGATGCAAATTCTATCTGATATTGATGTAAATGCGATAATGGCTTTCCGCAGTTTTTTGGTTACCATAAACCCTACTCCTCTTTCACCTTGTCGCATTTCATTTCCGGAGTAGTATAGTGAGAATTTATTCTTATGAATTTCTCCCTGGCTCTTCCATCTGATTTCCTGCAGTGCCAATATTTCAACTCCGTATTTTTCAAGTTCTTCTGCCATACTTATCATAGCTCCTGCCTTTAAGGTTCGCATTTCCAGGTTCCAAATTTTAAATCCATAATCATGTCCATTTTTCTGTGCTGAGTTCGTCGTTGTGAGATCCGTCCGTTTGTTTCATTAGCCATTGTATTCGCAACAATTGAGTTCTACAAGGAAGGGTTGTTAACCCTTCGCTCAACCCCCTTTTCATCGGAGGACCAAGGCTCCCTTCTTTGTTTGCCCTGACCCCACCATCCACTGGGGTTAGTTACCCAGTCTCCAGTGGAGTTGCTCAGGTTACCGGTGTGTACCAGCTTGGAGGTGAAGATAGGAATTGAGTAGGAGAGGCTAAGTGATGCCAACAGGATACGACATCATGTATTGCGCTTCACTACCCCTTTACACACCTCCGCTCCGCAATTATGACACTGAAAAATGCTCTCGTACTTTAAAATACAGGCGAAAAAAATTGTGAACACATCTGTAAAACATAAACCAAAATAATGAAACACCTATACCAGATCAAATCATTGCTAAGCTACTTAAACTTTTGGCCGAGGAAAACATTACCTACTACCAAATGGAAGGACAGCAGGTTCTAAGATACGATCAATATATTGATCGTATCAAAGTTTTGATTGATTGAAGTTGAGATTGATTCAACGTGCCTTCTACAAAAAACGGGAACACTTCAATGATGAACAATTATTCCAGCCCACATCATAACTTGTAGTTATGAGTCTGTCTTGTCGACCGGGTCCTCTCCAAACTCTCACTCTTTTTTAATCAGATTAAACTACATTCATTTTACAAATTTCCAAATGTAAACAAACTAACAAACGCACGTGAAAGTCAAACATACTGAGGTGTATAATATGGTGTTTAAAAATATTTACTTTTGAAACTATTAGTGTAAGAATTTCTTGAAATTTAATTATTGTGAGCAAAATTTAATGTTCCATTCAAGAAAAATGTGTTAAAATAAAATATTTATTAGATATCAGAAATATTCCATTCACTAACGATAAAAACCCCAATTAACAGCTTGGATTGATATGATATTTGGCATACACATAGCTAACCTGTTAAATAAAAAAAAAGTTATATTGTGCCGATGTGTGTTTTTGCCCTACGGGTTAGATTCAGCCATTCTCAGGAGTGAAAAACATACTTTCAAAATAAGTCAGGAATTAGATAAACTGACTAATAAGTACCTTTGATCTATAGAGTTTTTTTACTAAGTCAATACTTTTCGAGCTATTTGCGAGTGAATATGCTCATTTTTCAACAACAAAAAAATAATATAATAGAAAAAATATTCATAGCAAAAATATAGCTTATAAAATAGCAAAAAAAATGGTGTACGTATAAAGCCAGAAGCACATTTGTAGCTAATGAAAAGTAGGTTCTTCAAATTCCAAATCGAATATTTCAACGTGAAAGAATAAAAAAAAACAAGCGCTTTTTCCGACAGCTAGTTTTCCCCGAAACGTGCTTCATTTTTTTTATATTTCTCGTTGAAATTTGACTTACTTTCAATTAGCTACAACTCTGCTTTTACTGACTAACTTTTTTATAAGCTATATATTTGCTAAGAATATGTTTTTCGGTAAAATACTTACTTTTTGAGATATTTGCGGAAAACCGTCAGAGAACCTGGTTTTTTTATTGAAAAATGATCATATTCACTCGCAAATAACTCGTTAAATATTGACATTGTGTAAAAAGTGTATAAAATAAAATTGCTTAGAATTAGTCAGTTTATTCAATTCTGGACTTATTTTGAACGCATGTTTTTCACACCTGAGAAAGGGTGAAACCTACCCCCATAGCAAAAGAACACATCGGCACAATATCACTTTTTTTCTTTGCCCTTAGCTATGTATATGCAAAATTTCATGTCAATATAAGCGGTTCTTTAATATTTACAGCAAAAACCGTGAATAAATGGTCTAGAAAGGAAATAAAACTTTTCGAAACATCAATAAATTTAAATATTGGTTTCTCTTACTTTTATTAAAGTGATTACCTCAAGCTATTTTTACTTTTGATTAACAATTGCTTTGTGTTTGGATACTAAAAGTTCACTACATATTATAAAACTTAATACTAAACACTTAAAATAAACTCTAAAAAATAACACGACCAGTAAATAACTTAACAATAACTATAAAATATAACACACACTATATTATCTTAAAACCAACACGCTACTATTTGAATTTAAATAGACAAGTTTGGACCTGTAAAATGAGAATCCGTCTGGCTTAAGGCAATAAATTATAGTTAATAGCCTCTTGACGAATGAGAGGGCGAATATCAATACGTGCGTTTGTTTACAGTTGGGAATTTGCTGAATGAATGTATTTATAGACAAAACCTAGCTTTTTCTGTAAATAACACAGAACTCCATTCTTGTAAGCCCTATTGCACATTTTCTTAATCACCTTAATATGAGTTCACGATTTCCATGACGCAACATGGAAACCCAAAGTGGACATTTGGCTGCAGGTCAGTTTCATGTAATATATTCCTCAAAGAGTGGTCACATGTTGTGGGTATTTTTTAAGGCCCTATAGAGTAAAAAAAATATTTTATTAAAATTTTAACATAAATACAGACTATCTTTAAAATTTGAAACACTATTTCTTAACAATTTAAAGGAAATTATCGTACGAATTTAAGGCGCTGTGACTTTTGCTTTAATAAAACAGTGCAATTGGCATATTAATTTACATGGAATACCTTGATCTGTAAAGAAGAATTTTTCAAATGGTATGTATTAACAAAAAAAGCTTTTTAATGAAAAAAAGTGGAATAATAATATTGTTCCTTAGACTTTTTTTATGTGTGTAGGTTCAGACAGAAATGCAACGCAGAATAGCAATAACTAAAACCACTTTTCTGAGAATGAAGACATTTCTTTACGAGAACGATCTCAGTTTAGAACTAAGACAAATGCATGTTTGGTGTGGATTCTAATAGTATCAAGATATAATTAAATTTAAACACTGGAAATGTGGATTCACAGAATGATGTTAAAGATACCTTGGACGGCAAGGAAAACTAATGAGAAGGTACTAAGGACGGTCAACAAAAATAGAATTACTAAGAACAGAAAATGTCTTGTCTGGTACATATTTATATTGAAGGGAAATTGATATAGAACTAACCTACAACTAATTCTTAAAGGCAAAATATAAAATATGAGAGTTTAGGAAAAAAAATAAGTTTCTTGGCTAAAAACCATTCGGTAAGAACTCGGATGCCAAGTGCGGGACAATTATTCCGTGTGGCTGATAGGCCACAAGGCCATAGAAAAATGCAGAAGAAAAGTTTATCTACAAATCTGTTCTATAAAGTAGGCTTGTTTCTATTTATATTCATATCAAATCATCAATCATATCAAAATTCATGTAAAAGAATCAACTAAAGAAAATATCCATTTCATTTTCACATCTCATTTTCAGAAAATCCTAAAACTTTCGTTAACATGCCTGTAAGAACAGATTGTAAGTACCTACCTACATAATTTTTTTATTTTGAATATAACGAACTATAACTTGACATAACTTTTTTAATTTACTTGCTAGCTTATTACAAAACTGAAACGCCCGAAAGTTAAATCTTAATACGAATTTTGTATAATTAACTTGATAAATCATGTCCTCCAGATCTTTCTTAGATTCATATATACAACGATATATAAAAAGTGCGAAGAAAATATAGAAAACAATATTAAGTTTTGAAATAGTCTCAGGTCGCGAAAAGCTCTATCACATTCTTCTTTATGTGCCGTCTTCTACCGAAGGTTGGCGATCATCATACGATAGGTTTCTCTGTTTTGTGCCGCATGAATTATGTTCGCAGCTTCTGGTATTTGAAACCATTCTCTCAAGTTTCTCAGCCAGGATTTCTTCTTTCTGCCCAAACCTCTTCTACCTTCAATCTTGCCTTCCACGATAAGCTGTAGCAGACTGTACTTATCATTACGGAACACATGGCCCAGGTATGACGCTTTCCTCCTTTTAACAGTTGTTAACAATTCCACCTCTTTACCCATTCGTCTTAATACCTCTGTGTTGGTTACTCTGTCTGTCCAAGGTATTCTCAGTATGCGTCGATACAGCCACATTTCTAGAGCCGCTAACTTCTTTATAGTTGCTGCTGTTAACGTCCACCCTTCTACGCCGTAAAGTAGCGTAGAGAGTACGTAGCATTTCGTGGCGCGCCATCGGAGGTTGGCCTATCACAGCGTATAATTAAAAAATGTAGAAATATACGAGATGATAAAAGGAGGCCGGATTGGAAAGTTTTCTTGGAGCATTTCTAATTTATTTTTACTTCCAACATAAGTAATATGCTTAAATCCATCAACCTAAGTGACAAATTAAAACTTTATATAGCATATATAGAATCAAAAAGTGTAGAATAGAAAGGAAATGATGAAAATATTCTTAATGAACTGAATTAAAAATGATAATCAAAGTTGACAATTTATTGAATACCAAGTGCCGATAAATATATTAAAAAACGGTTGTATCAAATGGAACTACTCAATTTTTAAACACTAGCTGTTCGTTATTGGAAATTACTCATCATATGTAGAATTTTTTCAGTAAATATAATAATAGTCGACTATTGTTATTAATAGTTATTTATGAGTGGTTAAATGTTGGTAATGGATCTTGGAATCAGTGTGGATGGTCGAAGCTTACTCTGCAACAAAACTCTCTGATCCTGACCAAAAAATTGGAGGTTCTACAAACCAGATTTGCCAACAAATCCTACTCTGGTGTCCCCGAAGCATTACTGTCTCGTTATCACTGGATACGTTACCTACATATAATATACAGTATCCAACTGACGAAAAAGGTTGAAAGCTGGTTTCCGACTTCTGAGATAGAAAACTCCTACAGAAAACCAGATAGGTTGGGAGGTCTCGAGGCGGCATCCCCATCTTCTGACTTACCTAGCTACAGATGTATAATCTATACTGAACAAATTACAAATAATCCGTAGGTATTAGTATCAAACTCAAATGTGGGACGAATTAGGCAAGATAAGTCTACTTGGAATTATACACTTCTTCTAGTAGGACATGGTCCTATTTATTCTTTCATACCAGCTCTTATGATGTTGGTGTCCAGCTCTCATACCAACTCTTCGGCGGTCTACCTAGTGGTCTATTTGTATTGGGTTAATGTATTTTTGCCCATTTCGCGATTATTTCTGGGTCCATTCTGTCGACATGATCTCTCCATTTGCGGTTTTGTGTTCGTGCCCATCTCACCCCATCCTGGATTCTAGTTTCGTTTATATCCGGATTTGCTCTCTTGGCTCATATATTTGTTCCTCCATATGATATCTCTAAATTATTCCGATATTCTGGTTGCCTTGTTAGATGGATTTTTCACTTCCTCTGCAATATATCTATCAATTTATTCTATTATGTGTTCATTAATTATTAATTTACATTTGATAAGGCTCATGGGTATAACCATTGAATGAGTCTTGTCGTGGAATATTAACATGTTTAACTTGTGTGCTATAGTAAGAGTAGTCGCTGGAGGTAATCTTCATATTTTACCATGATTATTGCTTCATCCGCATAACAGAGTATACACAAAATTCGGTTTTACCTTTTGTAGTCAATGTTGGTTTCATTTACGCTTTCTATTATTGGTATCTGTTTTGATTGACATTTTTCTGCTTCATGATTTGAATTACGTCTTTCAATAGGACTCCGTCAAGTGTTTTTGTGAGATCCAAAAAGCATAGGAAAAAGATTTGTTCAACTCGAGTTGTCGTAATGTGAAGATCGCGTCAATTGTAGATCTATTGGCTCTGAATGCTTGTTGTTCTTCTGTTATACCTACAGTGTTAATTAACTTCTGTAACAAAATTATTGTTAAAAATTTTCTCCATTTCTATAGTAGGGTACCATATTATTTTTTTGAAATATCTTTGTCAATTCTGTCACAATTTCTGAGCTACCGTACTTCATAAATTTGTTATTGATACCATCAGTTCCTGGCGATTTTCGGCTATTCATTTGATTACTATTTGTACCTCTTTACTAGTTATATCTTCGTCATTGTCAATATCTTGTATATAGGTGTCATTGTTCAGATTATTAAAGTGTCCAATGTCCAGGTTTCAGGTTTTATAATCTTTGAATTTCCTCATGTATTTTCTTTTTTCTTCACCTTAGCATATTCTATGCCTTTTTTTGACCTTTATACATGACATGCTCATTGCTAGTACGTTTGCTTTAGTTTATTTATCTCAAAGTTTTTAATTTCTGTGTAAATTTCGTGTCTCCTGGTTTTTATTGCTCGTATATCTTCTGTAGGCATCTCGTTTTTCCTTAGCTCCTATTTGCACTTTATGTGTAAGTCACGGTTTATTGTTTTGTTGTCTGTTTTTGTTTGTGATGATTGCCCTTTGTCCTATTGCCTCCGCGGTACTACTTGCAATATTAGCTTTTAGTTTTGTCGAGGATTCTTCAACGCTGTCTATTTTTGTATCTATTGCTATATATTTTCTTCCGTTCGTCTTTAGTAGAGGATTTTAGTGCTCTCGTGCTTTTCTTCTCATGGATTAATATGCGATAATTCAAGCTTTGAATAAGACCAAACTATGCGTAATAACATTTGCTGACGTTGACTTTCTTACGTCAAGGATGTGGCTAGGATGTTACATACTTGACAAGCTTACAGCAGATGCAATAAAGATACACAAAATACATAAAGATACATAAAACGATTAGAGACACTTGAAATGTGGTACTACCGACATATGTCAAGGGTCTCATATATACACCACACAATCAACATAACTATTCTCCAGAGGCTAAGAAAAGACAAAGAAATTATAACACCGTAAAGAATAGAAATTTGGCTTACTTCGGTCACATTATGTATAATAGTAAATACCGACTTCTACAAGGCAAGATTGAGAGCAAGAGATGCCCTGCTCCAGCTGCTGTGGATAGAATAAGATGGGCCAATGTGGACGCAACATCACTTGAAGATAGTCACTTTTAGAAGAAGAATATTTATTTAAAAGAAACCTTTTGGTGTTCTATTATCAGTGCTGCTACCTAAAATAAGTATTACCACTTTACTTAAGACAAACGTCAAAGTTAAATTTATATATAAAGTCATATATATTTAAAGCCACTAAATATATGGGTAAAAACGTTATTAAATTGAATTTATATTACATTGTTGCTGATAATTTTACAGAATGTTAAAGATTTAAACAGATTCACTTCATGGAAATGTAAAATTCCCAACTGGGGTTACTTCGCCGGAGACACATCGTCTCTATAGAGACCTTAGGTAGCAACTGATCAAAATTACATTTTAGGACGGATACATGAACAAAACAGTCAATGTAACCGGAAGTGTGTATCTTAATGCGCTTCTAGCCAACAATGTGCATAATTGAATATGTTAAAACTTTTTATTACTTGTAACAGTAAGAAACTATGAACAACAAAAATATGAAGCTATGGAAAGAGACCGACCCAAACCAGGCTCCAGAGAATTCTATAAAGCAATTTCCTCTGAGAAAAGAGGACATAGAACCAATTCCATCCATACACTGAGAGACAATCAAGGCCGTATGATAATCGACGGTAAAGAAGTAACTGAAGAATGGAAAAAGTATTTTAGGGACCTTCTAAACATCATACAGGAGGAACAGCACAAAGAAGAGATCTATATCACAGCGGACATGCCCGTCAAAAATTCCTCTTTTGAAGAAACACAAAAGGCCTTAAATAAGCTGAAAAATCACAAAGCGCCGGGTACGGACTACATAAAAGCAGAACTTCTGAAATATGGGGGAGACGCACTACATCGTCAAATCCACCAGCTAATAACGCACATATGGTTAGAAGAAAGAATACCAGCACGATGGAAGGAAAACGTAATAGTGCCTATCCACAAAAAAGGGGACAAACATCATTCTTAGTAGACTAATCCCTTATGCTGAAAATGTCTTACGCGAAAATCAAGCCGGGTTTAGGGCAAACAGATCAACAATAGATCAACTATTCACGCTGAGACAACTTCTAGAAAAGGGATGGGAGTATAACAGACCCATACACAATCTTTTTATAGACTTTCAACAGGCATATGATAGCGTAGAAAGAAGCCAAGTATGGAACGCCGTGACGGAGTTCTCAATACCAAAGAAACTCATTCGGATGACCAAAGTCTGTATGGAGGGTGGAATATCTAAAGTACGTGTAAATAATAAACTGTCTGACAGCTTTGAAATCAATAGTGGACTTAAACAGGGTGATGCGTTATCTCCACTACTTTTTAACCTTGTACTAGAGAAAGCCATGAGGTCGGCCGAAATAAAAACAGAATTGCTATCGGTTCAAGGTCGCAAGCTGTTAATCGCATATGCAGATGACATAGATCTCGTTGGAGACTCCATCCTATCCACGAAAGACATTTTCAACAAGGTGGAAGGAGCAACACGTGAAGTAGGGCTGAAGATTAATAATAAATAGAACGACACGAAGAGACAGAATAGGACAAAATGTGACAGTCAACACCTACAATTTCGAAAGAGTACAACGTTTTAAAGTGATGACGATGTTGGTGTTAAAGTGTAATCTACCCTGAAGGTTTATGTTAGAAATACTTCTAAAATACAATCTGAAAGGAGTAAGAAGTGTAGGATGCCCCATGAAAAGCGAAATTTTAGCGGAATGTGCAAAAAATGCATAATTCCTGCAATAAATATGTTCATTAATATCATTTTATATCTAGACTAGTCTTTATAAAATAAAAGTAAGTAAAATTATTTCTTATTACTAATAAATCTATGTAACATTTTAGTTCCAGCTCCAAACAAATACAATTTACCTTCAGTAATAGGATATCCGAAACATGACGTCTCCAAATATAGATATCCTAATTATACAATGGCTCCGAAATTACCACTCATTGGTAAAACCCTTGGTCCTGGACCTAAATATTATCCAGAGAGATATACTCGCGTAGGGAGAGTTACCGCTCCTAAATATTCAATTAAATCCAGAGCAAAACCGCTAAGTAAGTATTTTTTACATTAGTGTTAGAGATTTGTTTTCAACTTCATAGATCAAATTGTCCATGTAGGACATACCTAATTTGGCTCTTTATGTTATCAATATGACTGAAAATAGTATAATGTTTTTATTAATTCTAATTTATTGTTCTTACTTTAATTTACTAAAGGTTCAATATTTATAACACTTACAAACTTAATTTATTTAAAGTTTATTTAGAATAATTTATCTTACAATAATAATTTATTATTACGATCGTTACATTGAAATACCCGATCGCGATTTTCTTTCCTGATTGACTTTTTCTCATTGATCTTCTCCATAATGAGGTATGGACGTTCCCAAAACTGCTGCAACTTGGGAGAACAACCGTTTCGCTTTTTGGGACTATAGAGCCAGACTTTGTTGTTCTTCTTAAAACACCCCTTTTCGGTTTGCGTATCGTACCGTTTCTTCATTAGGTCACTAGCGATCTGGAGATGGGAATGGACCAACTAGTGTACATCGTCCATTCTTCTTCGTAATTAGATCACATAATCTTCACCTGCTACATCTTTTCCAGGTCGACATTCAAACTCTAGATCACAAGGTAGTCGCATCTCGCGTCCGAATAGGACTCTGGATGGTATCTGGCCTGTCGATTCGTTAACAGCAGATCTGTAGGCCATTGTGAAGAACGGAAGATATTGGTCCCAGTCTCGCTGCTGATCGGACACCATCTTTGTCAAATACTTGCCAACTGTCCTATTCATCCGTTCTACCATACCATCCGATTGCGGATGATATGCTGTAGTTCTTGTTTTCTTCATGCCTAGTCTATCACATATTCCTTGGAATAGATCGCCTTCGAAGTTCCTGCCTTGGTCACTATGGATCTCCAAAGGCACTCCAAATCGGCTGATATATTCTTGGATCAACTTATCTGCAACGGTGGCGGTCTGGAAGTGCGTAAATCTCGACCCACTTAGTGAAGTAATCCATTGCTACCAACATGTACTTGCCTCCATTTTTTACTTTCTGGAAATGGCCCAGCAATGTCCAAAGCTATTCTTTTAAATGGGCTTCCAACATTATATTGTCTCATTGGAGCTCTCCTTGTTCGATAAGGCCCGTTACTCGTAGCACAAAAAGTACATTTTTTACACCAGTATTTTACATCGTCGGAACTGTTCATCCAATAAAACCGTTCCCGAATTCGCTGAAGGGTCTTCTTTACATCAAAATGCCCTCCTGATGGACTGTGGTGTATCTGACGAAGTACTTCGGCTATTCTGCTCTTTGGGATCACCAACTGCCTTTTCTTCTCTGAGTTGGTGATCTGAAACTTGGTTTTTTAACGAAGACACTCTATCGTCGAGAGCAGACATCTCAGAAGTGACTTTAGAGATTTCCAAGGAGATGTTAGCAGAAACTTTGCTTTCTAGAGAAGAAATCTCGTTAGAAACTTTGTCTTTTAAAGAAGCGATGTCGCCGAAAACTTTGTTCTCCAATGATGCGATGTCATCAGAAACTTTGTTCTCTAATTTCGAAATCGACAAGATGACAGCAACATGTTTATATTCAAATATATAAGTTTCCGGATTCAAACCATGTTCTTTTAAAGCGTTCTTTAGTCGTTGGACTAAATCAGCCTTTTTTCCGGTAGAAGCTAATTCACTGTCCTCGAGATGTCTTCTTAAATCCGTAATTGTGAGCTCATAAATCGTAGCCATTTTCACAATTTTCACTTCGGATTTCCGAAGTGGAAATTGAAACGTCAATAAAGCTATTTTTATCTTTAATTGTGGCTTATTCCCAGTTAAATAGTAATTAAATCAAAATTGTTACCCTGTTAGTCCAGGTTAGATGAAAAAAGGCCTAACCTTGCATGGCGAGCTCTCCCAAATTTTATTACACTAATATTTAGGGGGAGGGGTCAATAGTAGTGTAAATTTAAATTTGCGACTGAATCCAACTGTCACATTAGCGGCCATCTTGCATCTTAGAATAAAAAAGGAAAATCATTTTGATTAATATCTCTACCATTTTCAACTTTTTGACAAAAATGGTATGGACTGAAATTGTTGCAAATGCGATTTCCTACAATATCTTTTTACAATTTTTTTTTGTACGGTCAATATTTTCCAAGTTAAGGGGAAAATAGTGAAAGGGGAAGGAAGCATAATTTTCGAAATATCTCGTTTATTATTAACTTCACGACATGATTGTACATATATAAACAAAAAATCAGAGAATTATATTTTATGTGCCTACACAGTTTTGGTCTCTTTCATTTTTTTTTTCTAAAATTAATATTTGAGATCGTACGCAGATCGTACGTATGTGGTAAAAGCGCAAGCTCAAGACCTTAGTTTCCAATTAGTTTCGTTCAATATCTCGGCCATTTTAAACTTTTTAACAAAATGGTATGGACTTAAATTGTTGTAATTGCTATTTCTTACAATTTATTCTTTGCAAATGTTTTCGTTCGGCCGATATTTTCCGAATTATGGGGGAAAATAGTGGAAAGAGGAAGGGATGTAAATTATTAAATTATCTCGTTTACTATTATCTTTACGACATGAATGCACATAAACAAAAATGCGTAGAATTATATTTTTTTATACAATTTTGATCTCTCTCATTTTTTTTTTGCTGAAATCAATATTTGAGGTGGTCGAGCATTATCGTGCATTAACATGAATCTATCATATCCAATGCAACCAAAATATAACAAAACATGATCTTGCATGATGTTTTGAACATAAGAGTCACCAGTCCTTTGTCTAATCAGTTCCACAAGTGTGGTCCTTCTCTCCCATCTAATACATCTCCAAAGCATTATGCCACCACCTCCAAAACTAACGGTCTGGGCGCGATTTCAGATGGCAAATCGTTTTCCAACTCTTCTGTTTTGACCATATGTGTTCATGTAAAGTCTAAACGATCAGCTTTATGATTTTGGAGACGTGGAACTTTGGCAGCGCGTCTATGCTTTAAGTTTGCTATAGTCTTGGTCTATGAACTCGCATTAATTTGTCTAACATTTAGTAGCTCATTTTTGAGGTGAATCGATGTCAATAAGCAATTTCGTGTAGAATTAATAACCAAAAACGGTCATCAATTGTGGTTGTACACCTTGACTAGGCCTTCATACAAAATTTCGTGCGTCGTGGTACCTTTTTAAAGAGTTTAACCTATAGATTGACTTCTCCTAAGACGTCGTGCTATATCTTTTTGTGTATATCTTTCCTCGTACAAAATTACAATATGTGTCGCTTGAGCTTCATCACAGTGTCGAATTGGTTAATCGCAACTTGTTACTTAGTTAAATCAAAACGATATTTAATTAAATTTAATAAATTAAACTAAAAGTAACCGAATTACTATGGTTTTTCCTTTACGCGAAAAATTTTTTTTTATGATAAAGTGCACGAACCCTAGACGGTGACGTCATCAGCAGCAAGCCATAAACAGGAACGAACGTATGACTTTAAATATTGATTTTTAACAAAAAAATGAAAGAGATCAAAATTGTACAAAATATAATTCTCTTCATTTTTGCTTGTATACATTTATATCATAAAGTTAAAAATAAACGAGATAATTATGCTTCCCCTTCCACTATTTTTCCCTTAACTCGGAAAGAACTCGAAAATTTGAGGCAACTTGCCATGCAAAGTCATATGCTATTCCTACTGGACTATGTGTGTAGATATAATATAAATGTATTATTTATCTATTATCAAAATTTTGCAAAAAATTTAATATGTCATTTTTAACTTACTTCGCATGGGCTATAAGAATCATTTTACAGAACCACGGACTTTCAGTTTTCTCTTTGAGGATCGTGTGCATTGTGCATCATTGCCAATTAGTTCTGTGCAAAGAATTATAACGTCGTAGCTCTCGTCAAAATGCATTATCTCTATTGCATTGCTTTATATGGAACAAATTAAACATGTTTCAAATTTAAACATGGTAAATATTTAAACAAAACATATCAGTTAATTATGAATATTAAATAAAAGATCAACATACAAGTAATAGAAACTCCATATACAGTAGACTCCCTCTATAACGAAAACTGGTGTTTTATCTACGAGTGTCCATGCTTTGTAGATGAAGTTTATGACATCTAATAAAGTAACAGGGGATTCACTACGGATTTCCACATTATTCAAGATCTGCTTAACTAAAAGTTTTCTGTAGTGAACTTTAAGGGATCTTATGATGCCCTCATCCATCGGTTGCAGAACAGATGTGCAATTTGAGGGTAAAAAAAAGAAGTTGAATGTTTTTAAACCGTTAACTTTCGGATGGGCTGTACAATTATCAACAATTAAAAGAATCTTTCGATGTCCCAACTCTCTGTCCCACTTCAAAAGTTCTCCACTAAAAATCTCTGCTGTCATCAACGATTATTTATTAAATTTATGTGACAGGAAGCTGATTCGCACTTCTGAAACATCGTGGTTTTGAGATTTCCTAATGACAACTTCGTTTTTTCGGAACCGGACATGTTGGCACACGCGAGTACAGTTACCCTTTCTTTTGATAACTTGCCACCTATACAACGTTTGAGGGTCTTATCTGGGCCCACCCACTCGATACTTTAAAATTATCATCACCACCTAGCGCCTGCGAAAACTGTGTTGCTTTTTCTTGAAGCAGTGGCCCACTTATTGGAACATTCGCAGCCTTGTTTACGGTAAACCATTTGATCACTGCAGTTCAAAAGACGAACCTGCTTCTAAAATCTTGTGTTTATTTTTGAGCATAGTAGATAGGGTGGAACTTGAAAATCCTCTTTCACGACAAACTTCTGCTTTCTTCTTACCGTTCTCAATCTATTTAAGGATGTTAATTTTTCCTTCTAAAGTAAATGCTTTTCTTTTAGGAAATATAGTACGTAATCTATGTCAACTATGTTATCTTCAACACAACTTTCAAGACGCGAAAACATAATCAGAAAACAAACGATAAACATCTAAGACAAAAACAACTGCGAAATGAAATTCTGGT